GACTGTAGTAAGTCAGCGTTTCAGTCTCTTATTCATGATCATCTTAAGTTTGACTGAATTAATTATGGATTTATACATTAATAAAAATAGTAACAACCTATAATGTGGCACTATCAGGCATTAGTTAGGTATTAGTAAGTGCTTTGGTCATCATTTGGAACACAACACTCCTATTTAGTATGTAATGTATGAATACAGATATAAATGTTCATTCTTGATTAATAAGCTCATAATGTGTTCATGGTAACATTTCTAAATACATAAATAACAAAGTATTTGGACGCCCATTCCTCTATATAATGATTAAGATGATTAAGATATGAGCTCATTGTTTGTGAGGTTAACAGAGGTTTTATAAATGCTGATGTCATAGTGTAATTCATGGTTAATTAAGACAATTACTATTTGTTAATTGTGAAGTGAAGGTTATTTACGTCTCAGCTATTTTCCCAACAGAGACATGACGCAGACAACACAGAAAGAAGTACAGAACATACAGATGCAAACATAACACACCTGAGGTTTGCACAATAATGCAGGTTTGTAGGCGGGGTTTAAGAGGAAGATGCACCAAGGAGGTGGAGCCACAGGACAGCTCAACTTAAACATACAAAGATTTCTTCATTTAACATAAAACATGAACATTGTTTTTACAAAACAATAATAAATCTTTCACAGAGCTTCACAAATACGTGTATACAATATAAAGAAAGGGTCCATCATATTAAACTGGTAATGCAGGAAAATGTCTCTGGAATGTTTGAGACTTTGGAACTTCTTTAGATCGTTCCCGAGGTTCAGCTGGTTTGTGGTCTGTTAGCTTTAGTGCAGCTGAATTAGACTAAATAGCGGTTTCACACAGGTGAACAGCTTAAATGTAAGAAGTAATGGACTCCACCTCCTCCTCATTCAGTGAGAACTCAGAGCAGCTCCGTGGGGCGAGGAGGAGATCAGGTTACGAGGTGGTTCTCCACCATGAAGGAGAATCCCAAATCAATGAGCGTTATCATGGAGCCTTGATTTCCCTAGCATGTTACTGCACTCAGTCAGTAAATACTGCTATTTAATGGCCACATAAATCTGAATTCTCAAAAAGGTGCATGAATTCATGGAAAGTAGGGGAGGGGCTGGTTGCAGTAAGGGATGTGATTGGGTGATTTGGTGTCAGTAATGAAAATGAACTGCTGTCAGTGCGATGTGCAGCGGGTCTTCATGCTGCTTACTGGACAGTATAATTACAACGACAAAGGAAAGAAAATATGTGGACACATCAGCCCACATGTGCACTGGGCCACCATCCAAATACTCGGTATGCCAGATTACCAGTCCAGGCCTGCTGGTAACTGCCTGAATTAACCATGAATTATAATCTGAAGTATTAAGAAAACCTTTAAAACACTCAGTCACTGATTTACACTAAATATACCATGGACGCCTTATGAGTGAGCTTTTTAGTCTAGAATAAACACTTATATCCACATTTATAAATTACATAGTAATGAAGAGTAATACTTTATAAATGATGAATTAAGCATACTTACTAATGCTTAATAGTGTGACATCATTATAAAGTGATACCAGAAAACTATGTTACAACAACAACTTAGAATTACATAAAAAAAGCTTCTTTTTTTTCAGCTGAACGGTTAAAGTAAAGGTTAAATTGCACATATCGCTCCACGACAAGTACTGAGTGTGTTTTGTCTCTTCTCAGGTGACCAAGAGCTGTTGGTCAATGGAGCCCAGCATTTTATTGCAGCAAAGGTGAGGACAAAGAGTTGATGATGGGAAAGGGTTTGGAGGTGCAGTTATGGAACTGAACATGGTCTCAGATTTGGTTTTGTGGTGCATATAGTAAAGTTAACGGGACCGATGAGTCATTTTGTCCAGGTTTTACTGAGACATTCACATGTTTAAGGCATCAACAAAAAGACTTAGAACTTTTATTTTATCAGCAAAACTAGAGTTTAATTTTCATCTTTGACATCAATAATGTCAGTAAGAATTTAGCTTTCAATGTCAAATTCAAACTTTACTTGTGTTTCTAATATTTCTAATAATCATATTTTAATATCAGCACAGCAGGTCATGTATTGTATGACCTTCATTCTTGTATTTTGGAGCCACTACAGATATTTCAGTATAGTTTTTGATGAATACAATGATTAAGAAGAGAAAGAGAACATTTAAGCTCTCCTGTATAATAAAGACAGTACAGAGTGACTCCAGTTCACACTGAAGTCACTGGACTCTTGTTTTAGGGGCGTCTGTGTGTCTGTCCTGATTTGTGGTGGTGGGGGACGTGAGTGGATGTTGCCTTGCAGTGTTGAAAGGTGCCTGGGATACTTGTGTTGGTAGGTGCTCCTGGGTTGGGTGTGGGGTCTGGGGCATTGGTGCCTCGGGTCCCCTGGTTCCTTGTTAGTTCTGTCCCTGTGTGGGCGTGTCATGAGTGTAACCATCCAGGTCGAGCTGGATCTGTGCGGAAAATCTGAAATGTTTCTCTGAGTTGTTGAACTGTAATAACTTTGCTTCAACTGTTTTCATTCTCTCTGTCTGTGGAAAACGTTTTTGCCTAATAAAGGAATGCACGAAGCGACAAGACAAGTCACCGCTAATGGTAAGTAACCTTTAAAGTATGTCTGTTTATTTAAAGTGCATTTAAAACAGAAGTCAGTAATAAGTAAGCTGCTCGTGTCTGACAGGAGATCTGCCAAAGGCTGGTGAATCTCAGCGTTTATCTTCATGCACTCCAGGTAAGTCGGACTTAACATGCCACAGCACTCCATACACCACACCACATGTTACAGACACTGTGGACGAGGTCACCTTCACCTTAGTTTTGTTAAGTTGATAAACTTTAAAGCTTATCTGAATGCCAATGTTCTGACTACATGTACTTTTTGACTACGATAAAACTAACATGATTAATAACTACATTTTATAAAAGCATGTCTCTGAGGGGAATTAGTTGACATAACTTAACTCAGTATTTCCTGTTCACTTTTGTAATCCTCTTTAACTAAAATTCCTGAAAATTATGTTACAAACCTTTTAAAATGAAGGCAGGCAACTGCCACAACTGCACTGAGTGCTGCTAAATTTAGCAGCTTCAAGAAATATTGAAAATAATTCAAACAAACAAATGAAACAAACTAAAAACAAAGAGCCAGAGTCCAAAACAAACCAAAACTAAGCCCATGAAATGTTCAAGAACACAGTAAACAGTCCTGAAAGGTTCAGGGGGCCCAGAGGTCAGTTCAGTTCACGAGGCCGACTGTGCGAAAGGCAATGGCGGCAGCGGCGCAGGCGAAGGAGGTCTGGAGGCCGGCTGTGCGGCAGGACCAGACAGGCGACGGCAGGACCAGGCGACGGCATGGAAGCCGCAGATGGTGGCGTGGCAAGCGATGAAGGCTGGATGGGCCCCTCGGACCCTCCAGCGGGAACAAGACTTACATTCTCTGAATCAGCCGATTCAGGCAGAATAAATCCTCTGAGTGAAAAACAGTCTTGCTCACAGTGAAAGAAATTGCACAAGGTTGGGTTGGAATGCTCGAGTGGAGAGTGCAATAAACATTCACTTTCTCCCATGAATGGGGTGTGCTCAGTCGTTCTGGAGTGGCGGCGTCGTGAACGCTGTTTACTCCGGGAAGGGGGTGGGTCGGGCCACGAACCCTCCAGCTGACCGGGCTGCAAATCCTCTGGCTCGTCATACAGGAGCGGTTCTCCAGAACCTCCAGCAGAAACAGTCTGCGGGGTCCATGTTCTGGTCGCGATCTTCTGTCATGTGAAGGCTGTGTGCAGGCAGTAGTGATGGCAAGGTGGACCCAAAAGTGCAGACTCAAAATAAAGATTTTTTTCTACATGACACAACTGGCTACACTGGCTACACTGGAAACACTGGAAACACTGGAAACACTGGAAACACTGGAAACACTGGAAACTAAACTGGCAGGCAGAAGGCCGGACCACACAGCATGGAGGGATGATAGATCACGACACTGACCCAGAAACACAGGGCTTGAATACACAGAGGGAGCAGTCAGGGAACGAGAGACAGGAGGGAAACACAGCTGGGACAAATCAGGGCTGACGAGACAAAGGAAGCAAAACCAGATACATCAACATGAGACACAGACTTTCAAAGTAAAACAGGAAACATAACACAGAGACATGGACTTCTCAAGGGGACGCAGCAGACAGGGGAGACAGAGCAAGAAACACAGACAGAAACCAGAACATTAAGAAAGAAACCAAAAGACTAGAAACAATAAATAATAAGAATCAAAGTACAATAGTAAAAAAAACCTTCAAAACTCTGCGCCAACGACCCAGGTCTCCTAACACAGTACCTGCTTGGTAACATTCACACCAGGGTGTGTGGAGATTAGTTTGCACTTGTGTTTAGAAGTGCTTGTATGAGTGGGTGTGTTGTCTACAGCGCTTTGAGCACTCCGGGAGAGCGCTCCATAAGAATCAGTCCATTTACCGAAAACATTACTCTCAGAAGTGTCTCATCCAGTTATTGCTATAAAAAAGTGAAAAGAACAAAGGACAGTGTGACAGGATCCAGCCTCAGAAGTTTCTTCCTTGGGCAGTTTACCAGCTTGCAGACTGTCTTCAGAACGAATGCAGCGTCGTTCAGTCCCAGCAGACAGTTGTAGCAGTGCAGGTGTTGTCAGGGTCAGTGGGAGCTGACGGTGTGTAGAGTGACCCAATCTCAGACAGAGAAGAAAACGGGACTAAGGTTTAAACAAACAGCGAGATGTTTATTATGGCTGGTAAGCATGAATACAAAAACATAGCCACGACTAACTGAAACCTAAACTGGGAAAAAAAACTAAATAACTATGGAAACTGTGGCGAGAGACATGGAACTGAACAGGTTCATGGGGCCATAGAACTATGAAATAAACCCAACATGAACCTGAGCAGTTAGATCTCTGTGACATGATGTGAAACCAAACAGACAACCTGACACAGACTGAACGCACACAGGAGGTGATCACGGGAACACACGAGGAAACAGCTGAACATAAGGACACCACAGGGGAAGTAAAACAAAACACACTGAACATGGAGACTCCTGACTCTACAAAATAAAACAGGAAACACTGAGAGACGTAGCCATGACAACACGAGCCTGACATCACAAGACATGCAGACATGAGACGCATGAGCTCACACTTAATAATCACACTTCACACTGCAATCTTGTGCTGCTCAAACTTGTACTGCTGCTCACTCCTGCCACTTTTTTATGTGCAATTAATCACTTTTCTATTTCTCTCTCTTATGTCTTTCTGTACATTTAGCACTTAATATTTCTTTATTTATACATGTTTTAATTTTTTCACAGTAAAAGCTAAACTAAAGCTGATCCGCAGCAGTCTTTTGGTGCTTATTTGGTCGACTGGTTTGAAATATTTGTAAATAAAAGTCAAATCTACCAGAAACAAAGAAGCGAATCCATCTTTACAAAATAACACAACTGTGGAATCTTTCTAAAACATCACAACACAACAGACACACTTCATATTTGACTCTGTCACAAACCAAAAATATCTGACACTGGATTCTCCTTGTAATATGACAGGGTGCTGTTATTAAGCAAGACTCAATCTTGGAGCTGTTACTGCAGCAGCAGGGCACCATGTCTCCAAGTGAAGTATGGCGCCCTCTGTTGCGAGATGGAGGCCATCGGGAAGCCACTGTATTGTCAACCATAGGAGAACTGGCGCTTCTGCAGAGACAACACAGCCTGCTGCAGGAAGAGCTGCTGAGACTGAGGGATGCAGAAAATCGGTTCAAAGACAGCGAGAGGGCCCGGGCTGAGCTAGAGAGGCAGGTCCGACAAATGAAAGCCACCAGTGGGGTTGCACCTGCTTCACAGCGGTATGGAGAACAGGCCTCTCAGGTAAGTTCAATTACTTATACTCATATAGTATAATAGGGGCAACAAGGGGCGCCAAGACACAGATTTTAAACAAATTTTAACTCCATGGAGGTCAGATCCTTCTATCATGAACAGAATCATGAACCCACACACAGAGGACACAGGGAAAAGGTCGACACAGGTTTATTTACAGAAAGTTGGAACAACGCTACCAGGAGATGCAGGCCATCCATGGGAGTACAGACCATCACATATGCTCGATCAGAACAGACAACGAGGATAGCTGTGAAAAACAAACTGACTGGTAACATGAACAGAACAGACACACTACCTCTGGCTGCTGATCTGGTGATGACTGAGCTAGGTTGATAACCGAACGCGGAGCAGATAGGTTGATCTTTGGAAGTTAAGCATTTGACAAAGAGGCAGAAAAGCCCGAAGAAACAACCTCTGAGAGGAGTAAAATAAACCTGGTGGTTGTTATAAATCAGCTGTGTTTTCTGTACCCATTACTCATGTTTCTTTGCTCTTTCCTAGATGTCTAAGCCTTTGTCAATGCAGTCAGAAACAGAGATGTCTGGAGTTTATAACATGCAAGCCAACCAAGATTCTGTTCACCAGTCAAGCCTGCAGCAAGTCATTGACCTAGAGGTATATGTGACGTCAGATGATGATGACGATGGGACTGCATCTGAAAGCTCCAAAGGTTAGACAGACACGACGAGACCCACTACTGTCTATGTATCTATATCTTTCTTGTCCATTTACCATTTCTTTTGTTTTTGGCACAGCGGTTTCTCAAGTGACAGCCCAAATCATATTGAGTGTTAATTGAAAAATAACAAGTTGTTTTTTCTGAAAATAATTTAGTTATTGTGTAAAAAATAGTAATAACTTTTCCTTACTAAAGAAAACTAGAATGTTTGATTCTGTTCATCTGGACGTTTTCAGTGGGAGAAACGTTTCATCATCATCAGGTGACGTCTTCAGTCTCAGCTGACTGCAGGCTTCCAACCTTTAAACAGGACATTTGCATAATGACTGAAACCAGCCCACTGAAGGAACAATGGGCTGGGAGGTCAGTTCCTTGATCATTAATATCCAAATTGTCGTGATCATTGATCAACAACCATGAGTCCCATTCACAGAGAGCTGGGGAATGGCTGCAATCACAGCATTGTAAGATGGTGACAGATGTACCCTTAGGCCCCTCCTCCATTCAGAGATGGTCTTTCCCTTTTCATGTAAATGGTCTCCTTGACTCCGCCCTCAAACCAGCATTCCTCCCTGTCCAGGATGTTACATCCTCATCATTGAAAGAGTCCACTGGCCTGTAGGTGTGCATAGACTGCAGAGTCCTGGCCTGACGAGGTGGCTCTTCTGTGATTGCAGCCATTCCCCAGCTCTCTGTGAATGGTACTCATGGCCACTGATTGGTGGTTGTTGATCACTGGTCATGACAATTTGCATACTAATGGTCAAGTTACTTACCTGCAGTCAGCTGAGCCTGAAGAAGTCACCTGGATGAGTGACGAAACGTTTCTCCCACTGAAAACGTCCTGATGAACAGAGTCAAGCTTTTGGGATTTACTTACCTGTATAACTGAGCATCAGGACAGAAATGTTAAAAAACACTTTCTGACAAAATAATTTTATCATCATTTGTAGATGTAACTAAATGTAACTAAATGTAACTAAAAAAATGTACCAAACTGCTGATGTGGTTTGGTACTCCTAATGTTCCCGTTTGATTTCTTCCATTTTAGTCTAAGCCCTTCTCCTCAGCAACCAAATGCAAATACCACACTTAAGACCTTTTACTGTACTTGGTTGTCTGATTAGGATATAAAGACATAGCTACACCGTTTCCCAAACCATTTACTTTTTGATTTCCCAGAAAAAAGATGGGTTACATGTTTACACTTAGCTTTTTATACAACAACCCCCAGCCAACTTGCCAGTCCAGAGGTACTCCCCACAATTTCCATGCAACGTTGCAAAGCTGTATAAATCCGAACAGCTCCACAACATTCAGAGCTTTAAAGAACTTGGGTGACTCCAGAAGTCCAGCCACCAACGAGCTTATTGACTGCCTTTGTATCCTCATCCCTCATCCCTCAAACAAAACACATGAGCTTTAATTTGATTTGTTCCTCCCCCCGTTATGTTTGGATACTTGACACTAAAATACTGCACTGTTAAACTGATGTTAGAGGTCTGAATTTATATTTGTTCTCTTTTTTTCAGATCTTCACGATATTCCAGAGGAGATCTGATCCTTGGCATGTTTTCATTCTGCTAATGACTGTATGAATATATTTGCTCATCTGAAGTCTTGATATTTTTGATCTGCTTTGTTTTTGAGTAGTTTGTGTTGACGTGGCAGTGAGTTTTACATTTAATCACACGTTGCATGATAAACTTACAAGTATTACAACTACTAATGTCTTAATGAAATTTATCAACACTTTACCCAAAGCTCTTGGACTTGGAAAAAACACAAAATATAAAATAAAATTAAAAAAACAACTATAACTTAAACATTTTACAAAATCAATACTAACCATCAAACGGTCTGACAGCGACTGCATCATTTCACCTGCTTTTTCCATCAGTAAGCTGTTGATATATTAAAGTTTTGAAGTTCATGCTTTAGGTGCTGGCAAATGATGGGCTTCGATTGTAGATACACTGCACTGTTTGTTCGAATGTTGTGTTGAAATTCTTGACGTGATACTTCGGCCTACAGTTTGATCCCTACTGTGACCAACAGCAAAGGGAGGATGCAGCACATACATGTTCTGGTTTTTCATGTTCTGTGTGTCAGTCTATCTTCTGTTGCTCTGTATTATCTGCAGTATTGTTCTTTCATTAATTACTAACCCATGTGCCTAATTGTTGTAGTACTTTGATGACGACACAGTTGTATGCAAAAAGTACTTGTCTCACATATTAACTACTAAGTAACTAGATCAGTGTTGAACTTTTTCTAGCAGGTATCACAACTCTAAATCAGCGCTCCCCAACCCCCGGGCCACGGACCGGTCCGTGAGTCGTTTGGTACCGGGCTGCGAGGGTTGAGGCTCGGGAGCAAAATTTATGGTTTTCAGCGTTTTTATCGTTATTTTTTTAAATCGTTTTTATCGTTAACTCGGTTTCCCTGGATCTTTTCCTGTGTTATGAATAAATCTTCTTTTTTTGGTACCGATACTGGTTTTATTTTGTTGTACTTATCCGCAACACCTTAAAGGCCGTGAAAATATTGTCGGACATAAACCGGCCCGTGGCACAAAAAAGGTTGGAGACCGCTGACCTAAATGTTTTCTGAGTGTTTTCATTTTGGATTTAGGAATTTTCAGCCACTGTTCACGTTCTGAGATGTTTTCGATGATCTTTGCATGCAGAGCATGTTTACAATCTCTCCAAAGATGATGTTCAGGTCATCAGATTATGAGGACAACTTTACGTCCCTCAGCTTCTGTTTCTTGAAGACATTTATGATAATTAAGGGCTTTGGGTAGTTCCCCCTATGTTGAAGTCAGGCTTTCTTAAATTTCACTGCAGTGACTGATTACATGACATTTGCACTTTGTTTTTGTGGAATCTATTCTTCCCCTCACGGGGGTGCAGACTATATCCTGGTAGGTAAAAGTGTTCAGTTCTCACATCTTCTGTGTCCAACAGGTGTTCCAAAAAAAGCCAGCTTATTCAAATCATGCTTTGCAGACTTAAGACAGGATCAGTGCCATCATCAACACCACCATCTGACTAACTGTGGTAGCCAAGACAGTGGAAGCCTTTTCATGATCATACTATATGATATGGAGTTAAAGGAACAGCTTTTTTCTCAGCATGTGTGCATCTGAACAGATTTTTTCTTCTTTTCTTTTCACCTACAAATGTCAGTAACAGTTTTTGACCACCTTTACAAGTCTTTATTTGGTCCAGATGCATAATTAAAGTTTAGACATTGTAGAAACAATAGTGACTTTTTAAATGGTAATTTATGTGACTGCTGCATGAGATATACTACTGTCATGTCTTTGCCAGAAAAATCAACCGTATGTGATCTGACTTGCATAGAACTGCAAATATGCAGTGAATTAATTATAACTAATTCACTGGGTCAGCTGAGATATAATTTAGCACATCTATCGATTAAAAAGACAGGATTTGCAACATTTTGACTGTAAACAATGGTCAAAAGCAACTGAGAACAATGATACTGTATGTATGAGAATGTATGAGATAGTAGCATCAAAGTGTGGATTCATTGCACAGAGTGTTTGCCTGTTACAATATAGGGTTGAATGCAATGTAAGCCAAAAACAAGGACTGTAATTACTTTTGCACACCCTTTTCCAATTGTGCTATTTGTATTACTACATAAAATATATAACCTGAAATATATTCTGGTGTCAATTATTTTCTTTATTATATGATTTCTCTTTTCTGAGATTGGTTTCCATGAACTGCAGAAATAGCAGCCACAAAGTAATGCAGGTGTCCAGATCTGTAGCCACAACCAGGAAACCATTTGTTAATACAACCCCAGGAAAGTAAAAATAATGTCAGCTCGGCATGTTCAATGTTCTCAGTGCATAAGGATTCCCTCTCAAGATGTTTGTATGTGTGACCTCTGTGCATACATCTGGTGTGGGAAAGCCACAGGGCCAAGCAGGTTAGACAGACCCAGTTAAACAATCAGAGCAACACCTCATATACATACTGTATGCTCATATTTACACTGAAAGGTAAGCGGGGACAAGTTCCCCTATAATTTGCTATAGGTTCCACCATGTGCTCCTCCTACTTTCACGGCCCTGGCCATCGGAGGATACACCTTTGTTTTTTTGTTTCAGATCAATTTTCCCAAATGAGCAACTCTGGTAAGCTCTCTGTAGAGGAGTTGCCTCCAATCAAATTTGATCAGACTCCCAATCTGACCACTGATTACATAGCTACATGTCATCCTTCAACCGCTAGCTGTCTATGTGGTGCCCAAAAACCAATGTGGGCATTAAAGATAACTGATCTGGTCTTACTAGGAGAGTTTTCGTCATTCCACTTTAGATGGTGCAGCTGTTATTTATAGAAATAAGGATTAATTTATTAAATCAACACTAAGTAAAGACCAGGAATTAAAAGTTGTAGTCTTACTTGGCTCTCTGCAGCTCCCTCCTCCCCCCATAGCCCCAAAACACCACATAGAGCTTTTGTCTGCTCTTAGACCACCTGAGATAAAGCAGCACCAAAGAGCAAAACTATTAAATATGAATTATTAAACATCAGGAGACTCTCTTTATGATCATCTGTTTTGAAAAGATTTTAGAATTGATCAACATATTGATTTATTCTGTCTCAAAACATGTGGTTAAGTTAGAGAGGCGAGGTTAAGATGGTTTGGACATAAGGAGGAAGGACTGTACATTGGGCAAAAGACCCTGAATGTGGTAGGAGGTTAAAAAAAACACAAAGAGGATTTGTGGATGTAGTGAAGAACAATCTGTAAAAGATTTGTGTGACAGAGGAGGATACTGGAGATGGGGTGAGATGGAAGGCGATGATCTGCTGTGGTGACCCCTGATGGAGGAGGAGGAGTGTTATTAGAATAAAACAAATGTGGCTGCAGCAGGACCCTTAAGACGTCCAGCTGTCATTTTCATGCTCTCAAGACCATGACCTGGGTGACTGTAAAGTTCCAGCTTATGTAACTCAGCTTCATACAAAATCCCAGCATTTCAATCAGATTCAGGTCAGGATTTTGACCTCCCTCTCCCCAGCCACCTCCTCCAGCTTATCCGGGGGAACACCAAGGCGTTCCCAGGCCAGCCGAAAGATATAATCTCTCCAGCGTGTTCTGGGTCTGCCCCGGGGCCTCCTCCCGGTGGGACATGCCCGGAACACCTCACCCAGGAGGCGCCCAGGAGGCATCCTTGTCAGATGCCCGAACCACCTCAGCTGGCTCCTTTCGATGTGGAGGAGCAGCTGCTCTACTCTGAGCCCCTCCCGGGTGGCTGAACTTCCAAGAGTCCAGGAGTTCTACGTGGCCTGGTTCTGAGGGTCTTATATTCTGTTACTGGCTTCCTCTTTTGTATCGTAGAAAGCTCCATCTCTTCAGCCATCAACGGTCACGATGGGACATGTCTCCTTTCCTGATGTTGAGAGCTTTGCTTTTACACTCAGCTCTCTCTTCACCACAACAGCTTCATACGGACTGGTGCATCACTGCACCAGTCCGTCTATTGATCTCCCGCTCCCTTCTCCCGTCACTTGCGAACAAGATCCCGAGATACTTAAACTCTTCTACTTGGGGCAGGAACTCGTCCCTGACTCGGAGTGGGCACTCCACCCTTTTCAGGCTGAGGACCATGGCCTCGGATTTGGAGGTGCCGATTCTCATTCCCACCATTTCACATTCGGCCGTGAACGTTCCAGTGCAAGCTGAAGTCCGAGTCCTGCAGCCAACAGATGTTCTCCAAGGCTGACTGAAATATCGCTTCAGGGTCTTTGGCCATTTTTGTGGTTGTCAGAATGTCAGATGTTTCTGGAAGCCTTGGTTTGTTTGCCTGTTTTTTCATTAGGCTTATGTTTTTGGCTAGCTTGATATTGATTTCTCTTTCTAGTTTTATGTTCCTCCCCTCACCCCGTAGACTTCTTTGGGATGTAACACACTGCATGGTTTTGGATCATTGTCCTGCTGCAGAACCCAACTTCAGCTTGATGTCATGAACAGATGGCCAGACAGTCTCGTTCATGCTTCCATTTACCACAGTGAGTCTTCCAGGTCCTCAGTCAGTACAACAACCCCGGGCCACCACCATATTTTGGTATGATGTTCCTATTCTGAAATGTTGTGTTACTTTTACTGCAGATGAATGGGACACACACCTTCCAAAAGGTTCAGCTTCTGTCTCATCAGTCCATAGAGTATTTTCCCAAAAGTCATGGGGATCATCAAGATGTTTTCTGGCAACACTGAGACGAGCCTTAATGTTCCTTTTGTTCAACAGTGGTTTTTGTCTTGGAACTTTGCCATGCAGGTCATTTTTGTCCAGTCTCTTGTTATGTTGGAGTCATGAACGCTGTCCATAACTGAGAGAAGTGAGGCAAGCAGTTCTTCGGATATTGTGCTGTTTTTTTGTGACCTCTGGATGAGTCGCAGGATTGTGATATGATATGATTCTGAGAGCCTTTTGGTCTACTCTGCTTTGTCAGGCAGGTCCTATTTAAGTCACCAGGCCTGTGTGTGGCTAGAGAAACTGAACTCAAGTTTCCAAAGATGTCATTCACCACTGTTAATTTATGTTATAAAATCACTGTTTCACACAGGACCATATGGGTTTGAATATTTTAGCCTTGATATTAAACACCTTCATTTATAAACTGCATTTTGTGTTTACTTGTGCTATTTTTGTCTAATATTTAAATTTGTTTGATGAAACATTAAAAACAGAAAATCAGGAAGATGACAAACTCTTTTCCACACCACTGTATGTTGTTTAAATGGGCTTCCTGTTGAGACTTTTATTGATTTATTATCATTTCTTTTATTTTATTGTGTCTTATTGTATCTCTATCATGTTTCTGGGTCAGTGTGCCCAGCAGTTTCAGTTTTTTAGACTTTCAAGCCTGTTGATTGTTGGTGTGTGTAATGTTTGCAGTTGCTTCATGTATGTTTAGTGGCTTTGGTCTTATTCTTAGTTCCAAGTTGCTTTAGTCTTGACCTGCTGCTCGTATGTCCTGATGCCCAGCCCATCCGCAGACTGTTTCTCTGTTGGTGTCTCCTGATGTCTCGTCTTCTGTGCAGGGGCAGCAAATTTTGGGGGGTGGCCAGTGCCCCCTGGACCTGCTTGGTGGTGCCCCTGCTTCTGTGAGTAAAGAGGAATTGATGGCAGAGACTGGCTTCTGTGGACTGTGGTCTGGTTACTTGATTGTTTCTCCATTTCTTGAACGTTCATATAATCTTAGTGAAATGAACATTTATGTTTCTGATCAGATTGATGAAGGGAATGAGTTTTCTGTGGGAGAAAGTACAAGTGCATATTCTGTTTTTGAGTCCACTGATAACAGGACTAAGTTTAATGAGTCTGTGTGTTCAGTATTTGGGAGACAGACTGTGGTTTCTGTTGCTGTGTCAGAGAATGAACTGTGAATAATAAAGTTACGTGTTGTGGTTTAGAACCTATGCAGGT